TTGATGTAATTTCCAATAAGTTTAAAATTGAAAATATTTTATTTCTTGTTTATCTGTATAAGTATATCTCATTTTGACAGACAGTTTGTGTATCATCATCCAGAAATAGTAATCGCAGACAAAACTTCTTAAAATCTCTACGATTTCTTTTCCGTCCTGTATTGTAACCATAAAGGTCAAACATGACGTTGCTATTAGTTTTTTCATATTGGTCTACATACTAACCTATACATAAACCACATCGAACACATTACTCTAGCCAGACACGAGATCTTGACAAAATCTTTATTTCCAGAAAGGGAATTTAAAATAAAGAAAACGTCCAAATTTCGATCAATGAAAATGACGTTGCAAAGTTATGCCAGGCATCTAAATTCGGTTCTCTGGTCTCGAAGTCAGCTGCCAAGTTTTCTGAAAATCCACTTCAGCTGTCCAGAAAGGAAAGCTTTTTCGACACTCTCTAGAGATCTCTCAGAACCCGCTCTCTGATCTCCTGTCTTTCCACAGAAATAATAAGTCAAAAATCTCGAAAATGTGATCCTCAACACTGGTCCATTCAGAATATTTTCGCCAATTCCTCTTCAAATAAAAATATAAAAACAGTAATTTTTGTGACAATATGAATACATATGCGCGACCAATTTTGCTCTTAGAAAGAAGATAAAAAGAAAAATAACGTATTTTCTTTTTCGATGCAATAATATTGATAGAGCTCCATTGGAACTCTATCATATGCTTGGAAGAAAGAAAAAGAAACATATGTATAACACACAGCATAAAAACTAACGATCAGTCATAGCCATATCATGCCTGCTCACTGATAGTACGCTAAAATAAAATTCAACATAGAATAGTATCATCCTTTGTGAGGCTGAGCTTCAACTGTGACGTAGATTCTTTCAGTTCATGCTGTGCGTTTCTCCACAATATTATATTGTGCGTTGCATAAGGATATCAGCTAATTTTTTATCGTAGCCGAATGAACCTGTTGTAACGGGGCGAGGTTTATTAGAGGCATTTCTATGAAGAGGCAGTTCTTTTCCTTTAACGCAAAAGAGTTTGTACAATTTGCAGATGTAATTTTTGCAATACAAAACATTTTCTGACACACAACCATACAATATCTGTACAAACGACACACATCCATCAGTCAGTTTTGGGTGCTCTTCTCATTCTGTTTAATTTTCCATTCTTTTTCAAAATATTTTTTAATTTCCGATGGTATTTCCACCTGTTTCGTTATTTTATAGGTGAATTGACTGGATTTTGACTTAAGTTTTCGAAATCGTTTCATATCAAGATAATATCGACCAGCGTAATGTGCTTCGCGACCATCAGAATGATAACGATAAATATCACCGTTGATTGGATTCAACGACCACCAAGTGTTTTTCAATTCATTCGAATCTAATGTGACCGAATATTTATAGAGTGTTTCCGCATCATCTGGTAAAGGATCCGTGTGACCATCACGACGAAACTTTCTTGAGTCTGGATCATGATGACCGGGATTCGTATACGATGGTCGATTAGTGTCAGTAATATGTTTTTTTGGCATTATTCTTCCTTTCTTGCTTGTTGTTCTTCCTGATGGACCCAACACTTGATCAGATGTATATCGTCTAATATCTTTTCCGTCGTTTATTGGTAATGTTCCTTTACGTGGATTTGTAATTAAAGAAACACCACCGTAAACTCGTACAACACTTTTCTCTTCGTATCCAAACACAGACGGTACCCAACAACATTCTGTTTTTAAATTACCTACGACAAACAAAAGAATCTCATATTATCGAAACAAGCTAAGAGTTTATTACCTAAATACGAATCTGATGGCTCGTTTCTCACATCAACTAAGTTTTCAATTTTTGTCAATATATTTAAATACTTAGCTCTTTTATGTTTTTTGAAAGAAGCAGCCATGAATCGGATAAGTTTTTCTTCGTATTTGCTTGAAGGAAAAAAAGGTTCTTTTCCTTCGGCTAACCAATTTTTGACATAGGCCCTCGTTTGATGAGATTCAACCGAATGACATCCTTCGCAGATAATTGTTGTAATTTTATCAACAAATGTTTTATCAGCATCAACTAACTGTTTTCTAACATTAGATTTAATATCTTCGATTTGAGACGACGTTAAATCTTCATCAGACACTGAATTTTTAATTAATATTTCATTATAATACTTATCGATGTTATCATTAGTTTCAGTAGGATAGTCACCTGCTTGATCTTTAAGTGATCTTACAGCACTCTCAATTGCTTTCGTATCATTATCATTGATATCTGCTTTTAAATTTTCATAAGCTGAGCGAACACATCTTATTAGCATTCCAATTTTTATTAATTCTTTAAGGCGCAACAATTCTGGAAAATATGAACCAATTTCATCATAATTATTGGTAAATAATTTTGCAAATACATCTTCCGGACTATTATCCAAATAATTGTCTGTTTCATCATCGATTAATTTCCCATCCACATTATATTTCATTCGGTGGTTCTTTACACTCATTTTAACATTACCCAGACGATATGTTATCTGTGATTGTGTATAATCAACATCAACAAATATATAATCATCGGATTCAATCCAAAAACGATGAATGCGAGGAAGTATACTATCATTCTTTGATTTCTGCTTATAAATTGATACAAATTCGCTTTGTAATCGTTGTGGTAAACGTCTGAGGAAATGCTTTTCATCAGATATTTGAAATGGTCTTTTTGAACAAATCTCCATACCAGTTGAGATCATTTTCAATAGGTAATCCGCATGCAATAATGTATACAAATAATTTGTTTGTGATAGCTCATAAACAGGCGAGTATTTCATTTCTTGAATAGAATGATACTTAAAGTACGTTTGGGATTAAAAATAGAGAAAGACAAAGAGAGTAAACTGTGCAGGACTGTGGACCAGACTAAGCGGTGATTCGCAAAATGTCCATAAATATTCGCGCCCCAGTTTTTTGAAACGAAGAAAAAAAGCCATATAACTTAGAATCACTTCTGCTTCACCAGATTAAAGTAGGATTACGTTTCTGTTACTTCAGTAAGCTTGAAAAACGATTACTAAAGTATTCAGAAGGTCCAACTTTTTTTAAGTAGAAGGATTTTTCAAACAATTAAGAAAATCGTGGATCAAAGTTTGGAAAACATGAATTTTCTCAGCATAGAATTAAGACAGAAAAAGAAACAATGCTCAGCGCTTTTCTTAATGGTGTAACGATTCCAACGACATTTGAAATATGCTTCGTTGAGTTGAAATACGCAGCGAAGTAAAATTTTCAGTTTTTCAAAACTCTCTGCGTGAAAATGTTTATAGCTCAAGATTATATCAACATGTAAACCACACTCGGATGTATTTAGACAGCAGATTTTGTGTTCTGGTCTATTCTTTTTCCTAGAATATTTCTCAAAAATCGATTTTTCAGAAAAGTCGAAACGGTGACGACCCCCGTGGAACATTTTCTCGCCCTCTCGAAGTGGTAGCCCGTAAAATTCTGATCAAAATGAGCCGTCTTCCAGTTTTGTACGTGTTTTACTGAACGAGATGCTAATTTCACAAGATTCTCATTTCAAGATTTTCAGAGAAAGAGACAATTTGTGGAATATAGGTCTATATTCCACAAATTGTCTCTTTCTCTGAAAATGAATTCTACTTTGAACTACTTGACGGAGTACAAACAGATTTTATGATAGCCTGTTTTAGAGCCCGTGAAATTCTCCATCAGATGAGCTATCGCCTGCATTTATTCATTGAATCTTTATTTTAGAAATAGGACTGTAAGAGAGTATGCTAATTAGAACTAATTAGTCAATAACAGGAAGCAAAAAACAAACTTTTTTTCGTTTTTCTCAATAAATATTGTCCATACATTTCTCTATCGATCTACGCAAGAACCAAGTTTTTATGATGAAAGAGGAACAGTGAGGAATTTGTTTAAAACGCATGCCCGTTTTGGAATTTATACGTATATAGGTCCCTATGAGAGTTTTTTGTGAAATTCGCATCTCGCTCAGTAAAACATGTAATGAGCTGAAAGATGTCACATTTTGATCAGAATTTTACGGGCTACCACCTCGAGAAGGCGAGAATAAGTTCTAAGGGGGTCTTCACGGTTCTGAGTTTTCTGAAAAACCGTATTTTGAGAAATATTCTAGCAAAAAGAATAGAACGGAACCCAAAATCTGCTATCTAAATACATCCTAGTGTGGTTTACATTTTGATATAAAGCTTGAGCCATAAACATTTTCGTGCAGAGAGAAAATCGGATTATTGGGTCACACGTTTAAACCAAGGATTCTATTTCGGCGGAGCGGTTTTAAAGCCTGTGAACGGACGAAAAAAGATAGCCCGTGTTCTGAAGTATAAATTCATATTAAAAGATAGATTTTAAAAAGCTCGTTTGTATAGGTAAAAAGCCTTAATACTAAACGTAATTAGAATGATCGATTTGTAGTGCCATCTCTAGCGCCCTCTATACCTCGAGAACAAAGCAGTTTTAAGTAACGCCATTTAAACCATTATCTAAGTACATATAGACCTACAACTAGTATGAATGTCATTTAAATATGTGACATCAATAGTCACTACCTATGAGTAATTGTCGGCTTCTCTCAGATAATGGCTCTTAAAGAACTACTTGCGCGACCTTCATCGGTTTTCAACTTCAAAATAAAGACGCTCGACCGTTTAATAGAAAATACATAGACATTTCTGATTTTCATCTGCTGTATAGTCGATATTTAAACGTATGAAGGTTTCTTTTGAGGGTGGTGTGGAACGCCTTATTTTTTTATGAAGATCGTTAAAAGATGTTCTCAAACGGATGTACTAAAAATTCTGTATTTGGTTGTTCTAGTGAAAATACTGCATATGTTAAATTATTAAAAAATATTTCTCTTACATCATTAAAATCAAACAGACCATCTGCATTATTTCCTTTTCAAATAAAAAATCAGTTTGTCCATTATCAATGTTCAGTGTTATACCAATACATCTGGAAAATGTCTGTATCCTACTTAGCTGTAATGAATGTTTGTTATTTAATAGCCAACCATCTGGTGTTCGTGGTATGACTGGCCACTGAAGTATAAATTCAACATCGCTCATAGACCACTCATGATTTTCTAATATTAATTCCATGCAATAAATACGTTCATCATTGAAATTTTCATTTGATATCCAACCTTTCCAGATACCTTCAAACAGATTATATTGATAGATGTAATTATTAGATGACATAAATTTTAAATATTTTTCAAGAAACTTTTCTCCAGTTGCTTCCAAATACAGTGTATCATATACTGAGGATGTTGGTAACTGTATGAACGGTGATACTTTTGCGACACGAGAGATACTTGTTAATAATTGTTCAAGTATAAAACGATGATTATTTGTTATAATTAATTCAGAAGTTGTTCTACGAAAACTAGTTTTTGACGAGCAACATGCTTTGAGTAATTCGTTTGAACGTGATATTAATGTGAACAACAGTTTGTATATGTAAAATTCTAAATGTAATGGTAAATAATGTCTTGTCATCTGAAATATTTCTAAAGATAAATTAAATATAACTGTTCGATATGCATATAATTCAGCTTTCGATGATAGTGATTGTTTCATTAATTTATGAAAATACAGACATGCTATTAACATATTTGTTGCAATCATTGTTGCATTACCATGAGCAACCATACAATAATCAATGTAAGATAATGCTGATTGTAATAAATTATTTTGCATGCGTTTGATAATTGATTGTTCATATTTTTTTATCATTGTTAACTGATTATTTTTTTTCAGAAATTTCAAATTCATGATTGTCGTAGGTGGATTTATATTGACTGACACAATAAAATCGTAGTTATTTTGATTGATTAACGTTTGATAAAATTCATTATCGTTGATAAATATGACTAGACAATTGACAACATCGTCGTGCGGGTAACACAGCAATGCATCATGCAAAATATCCAGTGCTTTAACTGGTTCATTCTCCAACTTACAAATTGTTGCTTGTATTAAATATAATTTAATACGATATTCTACCGATTTCAATTCAGAAATCTTTAATCGACCAAGGCATTGCTCAAGAACTTGTTTCAATGCATCTAGGTTATGATTACTCTCATCCAGTAATACTAGAATAAATTCTTGTAAAGGTTGATATGTGGCCGATTTAATTTTATCAAAAATAACGCTTTGATCACGTTTTTTTATAAATTTTTTCTTTAATTCCATTAAGCTTTGAATTGCATCATTCGTTAAATTTTGAAAATTTAACAACACGTGTAGACCACCACTGATATCTTCATCATTTTTTGATAATTCATTTAACAATAATAAATGAAATTTAAATAAACAAACATTTGAAAATATGTCATTATGTCTTTTTAGTGTTGATATAAGAAGGTTCGAACAATGTTTACTGTTCTGTTTTGATAAAATTGTACAAATATTAAATAGAATTGTTGTTTGTAAGCTACGTTGATTTTCTGCGTTAAAAAAATCAGTCTAAATGAAGAAAACAAAAAGAAATTGCAAGAACGAAAGAATATCTCATCTTGCGGCTACTGTTGTCGACGTGCGGTGATGATCAGCCCGGCTTATCAGTTTCAAGCAGCTCGATAAACCAAAGGAGTTGCCTTTTCCTCTGCAAGTCATTAAACTACAGCTTTGGACAAAAGACCTGCTTGTCGCAGTTCTTTCACACAATTGGACGGGCGCTTCATACCCACTTACCTGTGAATTCTTTCTTCCGAAAATGCACTTTTTCGAAAAATTGGATGAAAGAATTCGCATCTCGGTATAACTTTTCCGATGCAGTTTTTGACACTGAATGCGAATTTGAAGTCAGATTTAAAAAAATACAGCAAATCGGGCTTTCTCCCATTACATGCTGTCAAAAAGTAAAATTTAAAAAAAGGTAGAAAAAAAAAATAAAAAAGATAGAAGAAGAAAAATTCTTGAACAGTAGAGGAGAGTGTTCCTGTGTGTCAGATAGAGTCAGTTGGTTTTGATAGTGACTTTAAACCAAGCAAACAAGGTACCAGATACAGTACTAGTGAAAGCGTCGAGTGTCTGTAATATATTCTAGCACGCTATGAAACAAGTAATGTATATTATCAAAGTCTAGTTCAGTAATTGCATTATCCTTTAATAAAATGTGGTCTACTGTTAAAGTCTGAATATGAAGAATACTTTTAAAAACAGATTTTAAGTTTTGACGTTCGTTTTCATATCGAGAACACTCTAAAAAATAATGTCCAGTGGTTTCTTCTACAGAACGGCATGTGCAAAATGGGGATGATTGTAATTTACGTTTGTAAAGATCATAGTTTAATTGACTGAATTCTACTCTAAAGCGTGTAAAGTGAATCTCAGACATTCTAAATTGTGTAGGTTTCAATTTAAACAAGCATATGGAGCTTTTAGTCTAGTTTTAAAAGTAAAAAAGCTGTTTATCATTCGATATTCATTCGGTAAATCATTCCAAAGTTTCTTAGCCGCCGGTAAAAGGGATCTATCGTACACTTGCAGACCAGCTTTAGTAGAAGGCAAAAGATTTCTATTTTGACTGCGAAGATTATGCTCTTGCGTGTAAGTAGTGTGTTGAATGAAGGAAGATGGTAAATCAATGATAGTTCTACCTCTTAATATTTTAAAAAACAAACAAAGACGATGTATTTCAAAAATGGAATATTTAACTAACGGTTCAACTGTATGTGTGTGCTTAACAGTTAGTGGAATGAAACATTTTAGTAATAAACAACAGGACTGCGAACAACGCAAACTGTAAATTAAGGCAGTGATTCTACGAAACTCGGCGCCTTCTACCCGAACCTACAATAAAATCTCGAAGGATATGTGCCACCGTAAATAAAGTTTTTTAGACATGCTCTGAAGCTTCTCTTCCTATGCACATATACAACCACGTACTCGAGCCAAACAAAATCTAAAAACATGTGAAATATAACCATATTGACGGGAGGAGTGTTCAATACTGTTAGGAATCAAACATGTCTTTTTGTGAAAAATTCAGAAAAATTCTACAGCTTTTGTTAAGGTGGCGAAAAACAATCCGAAATATGTTTTTCTACGGCCTAAAGGCTTTTTTATTCAAATAGATAATCTGTTATATATCATTCTAGGCAGTTTAAGGCGTTGATTCCGATATGGCTTTGACTCTGACTAAGAGTGTGACCTAAATTGAGGTAAACAGATTTTACATAAAAAGTCAAGGATTTCAGAAAATCTGTAGCATGGTCTAGGAGCATTTATCCTATCTGTTTTAGTGTAATACAATCAAAAGAATATAGTGACAAAATCTGAGTCTATTTGGAGCTTTATGCACTCATTGTATTGACCACAGCTATTCAGAAAACTAATCCATCGGGAATATCTCTTTGTTGCTCAGAGAGCATCGGTTTAAACAGAAAAGCTTTCTGCTAACTATTGAACAACAAACAATTCTAAATTCAGAATCACTGCCAGTTTTAGATTTAAATTTGTCGGATTTCATGAGAAAAAAGCTTTTGTCTTCAGCCTTCTATTTTCAGTATTATTTCTAATAGGTAGAATTTTCAGAAGAAAAAGCATAACAACAGCAGCAGTGTGAATCATTTTATTTTATTTTTAAAATTCCGACGTTTCGATTTATTAAAAAATCATTATCAAGGATATAAAATACAAGGTCGAAATGTAGTGGGATAAATTGTATATATACATGTTGCGCAATTCTTGTACTTTCTATTCTTTTCTTACTATCTTTCTCTTTTTACTTTCTAACCTATTCAAGAATAGAATAAGCCAAAGAGAAAAAAAAAGAGATTTCTATTTTCAGGCTAATTTTTCATTCAGTGTTTTCTGACGATTCGGATTCTTAGCGGTTAGAAGAATAGTTCTTTGCCATCGAGAAAAAGGATATTTCCCATTTCAGACCAAATATTCGCCTAAATTAGGCATGCAACGATTTCGATTAAAAATCGAATAACTGAACATCGATTATTCGATTTTTTAATCGAAATCCAGACATACCTATAGCGAAAAATGTTTTTATATGTCAAAAACTTGAACTCATAATATTGCTTATATTGTACCAAAACTTTCATTTTATATAGAACCAAGGCCTTCCAACATCCAACAGAGTCGGTCTTGGTCTTGGTGCATGTCTATAAACAAGCAAGTAGACTCAAGTTAGAAATTTCCTTTTTTCATTGATTTTTAATTGGAAGAAATCGAATAATCAAGTTCAATTATTTTCGATTCCGAATAATCGAAGTTCGATTACTCGAAATCGGTGCATACCTAACCTAAATGCACACTGTGCGATCCAATCTAATTAAACTTTCTGAACACATTTCGGGATCGGTTCGACCCTTTTCGGTCTATAGTCTATATTTCTTGAACGCGCCTTTCTTTTTCTCAAAAAAATGTCCACAGAATGTATGATTATCAAAAAATAATATAATAACTAATTATTATTAATAATTAATTAATTAATTATTTGCAATAGTAATTAGGCATGCATCAATACAATATATTGGGTTTTCACAATATTATTGGGTATTGGATCGCTTGGGTTCAGCGTACTTTTACAGTACAGACGCATGCTCTATATCCCGTTTTAAATCAAAGTATAACCCAATCAGGCATGCACCGATTAATAACATGCTACAGATAACACTAAAACTTCTTCCTGTACTTCAGTTTGGTAGAGCAACCATTTTTCTACAAAATGAGTCATTCGGTAGTTCTAAGTGCTTTTTTATAATTGATGCGGAACGATTTTGCTGAATGCCCTAACATCGATTATTGATTGGTGCATGCCTAATCCCGATCGCGATACATTTTTATATTCCAGTTGGGATATAGAGCTCGATGGGGATATGCTTCCTCACGTTTTTAAGAATAAAAATGATATTAAGATTAAAAGTAGGAATCCAGTGTATTATAAAACCTATTATTATCCAATATTAGTGTACAATATTATGAGTGAACAATATTATTGGGACCCAATATAATTGGATACCCACTAATATTGTATCTTCAATAATGAGTGGTATTGGCGCATGCCTAAACGTAATGGATTAGTATATTGTAGATATTTCTGTTGCTTTTTACTGTACTTACAAACAAGATAAATATACACCTGAGCATTGATTGTTTGTTTATAAACGGCAATGCTGTACAATAGTGCTGTTGTTGGTGATGATAATCTGTGTGATTGTTTTAGAATAATATCTGAAATATCTAGATTTTTTTCTTGTAAATAACAGTTTAACGCTACTGTATATTTGTGTTCATCAAAATATTTATCACCTAAAGATTTCCAGTTGCAGTATTTTATTTCGTCTAATAATTCAAATGCAACAGAACTATTATCTTTGATTCCATTATAGATCCATGATGTATCATTAATATTCGAAAAGAGTTGCTCTGTTTTATGACATATTAATATTTTCTTATATTGTTTCAATTTAATATAGTCTTGTTTATATTTTGACCAGGATGGCTGATACATCAAATGAATAAATGCTAAACATATTACAATTTGTTTTGTATTTGTTAATGAACAAACATAATTTAACCAATCATTTAATGTCATTGTTGTTGCTGACAATATTTTTGATAAACAATATACATAACTATTTGTTGTCGATATAAATTGAACGTTCATTCGATTCAAATGTGATAATAGGTATGCCAAATCTTCAAACTGGTTCTTATCACATAACTTATTTATGATTGAAATCCAATAATTTAATGTTATGTTACCTTGCAAATAAAGACAAAACATAGCAAGATCACCAGATGATGGTAATAGTTTTTCAGCCCAATTTTTCCATTTAATATTGTTTTCATATTTTATTTTAATATATAACAGATAAAATGAACATGTATCAATATCATTATAACGATCAATCGCTACTTTCAATAAATCATTTGGTTCTAATTTTGCTTGTTCATAACATAATATTGATAAAACAGGATTATCTTGATGTTTTTCTCCTTTACTTACCCAAAATTGTTTTGTTTCGTCACCGCATAAATTCATACATGTCACTACAAATGAATATTGTTCTTTGGAACATAAATCAATGATCAGTTCAAACCATTGTTCTTTATCCATGTTTGAGTACGCATAACATTGTAGGGCTGTTCGATATTGTTTTAACGAATAAAAATGATCACCATTTTGACGATAAAAACTATTTGATTGTTTTTTATAAGTATAAACAAGAGCCAAATAAATATCCATATCTTTCATAGTATTTGTGTTAATTCTTTTCATCAAGTTTTCAAGTAATATATGATAGACCATTGTTCGTTTTTGTTCTGAACATTTAAGACATATTCGAACTGGTTCTCTCCAATAACCTAAATGTGGAATCTTTTCTAGTAACTGACATTTGGAACATTGCATCGCACCACACATTCTACAATGATGACGCCATGTAAGTATTGTAAAACCTTTTTTGCAAATAGAACAGTTATCTTGTTCGTCATTATCAAGCACTCTTGGTGGTTGTTGTATTTTAAACGTAAATTGATCTAAATCAATATTATATTTATCTAATAGAAATCGATTTTCAGCCAATAATAATTGATCTGTATTGATTAAACAATAATTTCCGTTTATTATGCCATCGTTTCTTTGTTCAGAATTATCTAAAAGACTTTTTAACATTTGAACTTCGTTAAAATTCGGAAGGCAACTGGTAGGCTTTGCTGTTTTATCAAGTAAAGTCTTTATTAATATTTGAATATGTTGTTCATGACGACGATAATAATTAATAAATCGTGACCATTTGTTTGGTCTGTGCTGAATAATTTTTATGGGAATTTGTATTTGAATTTGTAGTTTTTTAAAATTATTCCAGTCTTCACTCTTCCATATTGTTGAATAAACATTTGTCAATGTAATTTGTTTCCAATTCCATAGGTCTTTATCAACAATTTGTTCAAGTTCTATTATGGGAGTTTCGTTAAATAAATTGTGATACTGTTCTGTCATATCTTGTTGATGTTCATTGGAACATGTTTGACGACATAAATCACATAGTGAATAATATATTGTTGTCGTACTTTTGTTCATACCTATGTATTTTTCAGTGATGTTCTTCATTTCCATATGAAAGTTGTCAACGATCGATATGCTTTGATAATTTTCAATATATTCTTCAATTTGCTTTTTTATTCTATCTGATAACTTTTCACCAGCATGTGTTAGACTAAAAACTGTTGTTGGTGCAATATCATCATCAAGCTCGTCATTATCCACATTGTTGTCATCAAATTCAAATTTACTTGCTTCATTTGACAGCGTTTCATAAGCTGTTTGTAATGTCTTGAATATATTTGCTGCATCAATATTTGAATTTTTATCCGGATGATATTTCAACGCCTTTTTTAAATATGCTCTACGTATTTCAGCTTGTGATGCATTCGAATTAATATCAAGAATTTTATAGAAATTTTTTTCTTCGATATTCATCACCTTACTAGAAAGAAACTTATAGCAATAAATTCCCAATGTACTTTGATTAACCGTTCGGTTTAACCAAGTGTAAAGCTACCTTCACAAGAAAACATTTTCATATGATTAAGAACGTTTGAGATGATATTTAACTGATCAATGGTTGTAAGCAAAGCCCATAAATATTCCAGCAAATGCGATCTGATTCTATTATGAGAGATTTTAACAAATTTCAGATTCTGACGTTCTTCTATAACGCGGCAGTCTGACTCGTTAAAGAGCTAATACTCATCGTAATAATAGTCCTAGATACAAATCGAGTGATCAGATACGCCTGAAAGTCTTTTTCAGTATTTTCCATACATTTCTCAGTACTGTTTTGTTCAACCGGATCAGAAAATAAATTTTGTGAGTTGAGTAAGAAAAGTACTCTTCTATTCCATCATTTTTCTCAGGGACTAGATAAATACCTTTATTCTACTCTAACGAGGGAACCCCACGAAGTGATTAAACGCTTTTTGCTCGGAATCTAGTGGGTTATAGGTTATCGACCATGCTGATTACGAATACGACCATGCGGCTTCCGCATAGCCCTTCGAAGACCTGGT